TTGAAGAAATTCGAGAGAGAATGCCAAGATAAACTTTTTTTTTTTTGCTTGTATCTGGGATACCAAAGTTCATGACTTATTATTAAAGAGAGAGAGAGAGAGAGAGAGAGAGAGAGAGAGAGAGAGAGAGAGAGAGAGAGAGAGAGAGAAGGAGGAGGAGCAGTTACATAAGACTTTAAGCATCTAACAAATAAATAAAAACATGTTGCTGCAAAAAAAAGTCACCATAAAAATGTACTGAAATCCCCTACATTTATTCAACATATAGGATGTGCAAGGATCACCAGAATGTTGAAGGAGAAAGTTGAAAGGACTTAGGGATATTAGGAGAATTTCTCTGGCATAATAATTGTCCAATGGCAGTTGGGCTAAGCCAAGAGCTCTCCATCACTGGAGATGCTGGGGGAGGAGCTGGAAGACTGCTACTCTGAAATATGAAACAAAGGCTCCAAGTATTGGATAGGAGATTGAGAGATGCCCTAAAATCCTTTTCCACCTACGGTGCATAGATACTAACACATGTATGGCCACACATATGTCCCCTGCAGGAGCGGCTCTGGAGCAGACCTTATTTGAGCTGTCTCGGATTATATATCCTGTGATAAAAGTGGCCTGACCAGAATATCTTCTAGTTAGCTGGTTGGCCAGAAACAGGGCTTTCCTAGTTCTGTGGCAGTAAGGAATTAAATGTATCATCATTGGCACTCCAGAAACTCAAATGACGAGCAGGAGTAGAGGGAAAGGTGGAAAGAGGAAGCGGAGAACCAGCAGGCTGACGTCCAAGGAGTTACAGAAAGGTGAAAGAAATCACAAGTGTCTTTTCAGCAGGCTCAGAAGTAACCCCAATGCCCTATAAAGGGCCAGTCTGAGCACCATCAACTCTTTATTTCTCTGTTGGGCAGCCACCCTTCTTTCCCCCAACCCTCTCTTATTTCGTGTCAACAAAATGGTCCAAATTCATCTTGGTTTTTTTCTAATTTGGGCCATGGAGACACAACTGATATAGTATGGAAGGGATCTTACAAAAAGATTATTTCTTTGTCGTATTACTAATTCTCATTTAGTCAAAAGCTGCATCTTCTGACTGACTGCTTTGATCAAATTAGGGCAACTCTTTAATTCTGAATGGAAAGAGAAAAATATGGTCAGTAAATTGTGCCATCACACAGGCAAAATAGCATAATTAGGCACAGCATTGTCATTTAATTGACCATTGATGTTGAGTGTAGTGTTGTTTACCTCTCCGCTCTTGTCTACTCTTTGGCCAACTCACCTTAGCTGTTTTGAAAATAAAACAAAATTCAACTATGGATTTGAAATATGGTTGTATCATAAACAATTGGTAGGCGTGTTTCCAAGTAGTTTGAACAAAGTACCACAAAGTAGGCGACCACCGAGGTTGCTAAAATACTCCCTGCCCTGACCAGGGTTGTGTTTCTGGAGAATATTTAACAGGGAGGGTTTTAAGGCTTCTAAAGATGTTGAAACTAAAGAACAAATATTGACCCAGAGGGCACCATGAGTCTCCTGAAAGAGAGTAAAATACGTCCTTTATAACATGAAAAACTACTTGGCTGAAATATTCCCAAAATCCTGCACAATTGGCCCTCAGAGGGCAGAGGGGCCAATTTGGCACAGCCAGGGCCCGGGCACTGACGCACCAGGCAGCAGCATCATAGGTCCTCTCGCTCTGGGAGGCCACGGTTTTCCCGCCAGGCCGACCTGGGCCACCAGCCAGAGGAACTGGGCCCCGAGGCCACCCCAGGCCGCAGCTGGCAGCTGCTGGCACAAGTGTTGGGTAACTAGGCCAGGTCTTGTTCCCGCGGCTCGTCGCCGCTGGAGAGTTTGGGCTCCATCGAGGCCACCCCGCGCGGCGGCTCCAACAAACCCCGGGCGGCACTGAAGGTGAGGCTGGCCAAAAAGACCCTCCCTGTGCGCGGGCGCCGGTGAGTCAGGGCGCGTTATGCAAGTGCTGGCCCACAGTCCCCGGCGCCTCCCCCCTCGGTCTTTCACCCGGCGCGATTGCGACAGCACGACCCCCTCCCCCCGGAGCTATAAAGCCGCCCGGTGGCCCCCGCAGCGCGCTCACCTCCCTCGCTCTCTGTGCGCCCGGACGCCCAGACCAGGTCTGCGCGCATCTCTCGGTGGTGAGAGGCCCCCGGGCGGGGATGGGTGGGGACATGCAGGGACGGGCACGATGGTGGTGGCGCCGGAGGGCCGTCGTGGGTCGGGTGGCCTGGCGGCCCCGCGCTCACTGCGCGTGTTTCCCGCAGGGCAGATTCCTGGGCGAGATGGAGTGGGTGTGGGCGCTCGTGCTGCTGGCGGCGCTGGGCAGCACCCGGGCGGAGCGCAACTGCCGGGTGAGCAGCTTCCGAGTCAAGGAGAACTTCGACAAGGCTCGAGTAGGTATCGGCCCAGGTGGTCCCGGTCCCCGGTCCGCGGTCCCCGGTCCCCGGGTTGCCCCTTCCCCACGGCCAGCTGTGCACTGCCGACACCAAACCTGCTCTCATCTCTTTCACAGTTCTCTGGGACTTGGTATGCAATGGCCAAGAAGGACCCCGAGGGCCTCTTTCTTCAGGACAACATCATCGCTGAGTTCTCAGTGGACGAGAGCGGCCAGATGAGCGCCACCGCCAAGGGCCGAGTTCGTCTTTTGAAGTCAGTGGCCTCCGGGCCGCAGAGCTCTTTTGCGCTTCAGGGTCCCCCGGGCCGAGCGCCAAACCCTGACCCTGGAGGGAAGGGAACGCCCGGGGTGGGATGGAGGGAGGAAGCCCTTTGCCCGGCTTGGCTCAGGATCTCCTTGGCTTTTGCAGCAACTGGGACGTGTGCGCAGACATGGTGGGCACTTTCACGGACACCGAGGACCCTGCCAAGTTCAAGATGAAGTACTGGGGTGTAGCGTCCTTTCTCCAGAAAGGAAGTGAGTAATCAGCTCAGTGGGACTGCCTTGGGGGTGGGGGAGGAGGAGGGGAGCATACCTAGCTGAAGCGCTGGATGTCTTCTGTAGTGGCGCCCTTGGGGAAAATGGTTTGTAGGTTACAGGAACCCTCAGCTGCGCCTGAGGTTAGGGTCATGAGACTGGGAGTAGCTAAACATCCTTCCCACTTCCGCATCCCCACCCCCAGCTCAAAAAACCTGGCCAAATCTCAAAGGCTCTTTGGGCTTGTAAGGTGACCTCCCTCCTCCTGCCATTTTCCTGTTTAGCCACTGTGCCAGGGTGTGTACAGTGCCTTCTCCATGCTTATCCCGCCCACCTCCCTAATACCCAGCCCTCATTCACCACTCAACCTGACTTTGCATTTCCTCCAGCTTTTTGGGCTGAATCCCTGAGACAGCTTGACTACTTGGTGGCCTCAGCAGCGGCTGGGAGACCCTCATCCAAGGATGTAGGGAGCATGGTGCATAGGGTTGGCTCACTGCCTGTTGCCTTGCCTGCTAACGCTGAGATTCTGAGCCAGACACAGTATTCTGGGTGGCAGTGACCTCTTCCCTTTCTCTCATGCACCAAAACTCAGACAGGGGTGGGGCGAGATTGAGGACTCTAAGGACAGCATCTCAAAACTGGCCCTGGTCAGGAGAATACAACGTCTATATGCTCTTTCTACGTTTTCCTCCTTTCTCCTAAATTTCAAACCTGAAGTCTACTAGTTACCTAGAAGAATAATGCAGGCCAAGGGGGGCGGGAGGAACATATCATGGGATCTTAAAAGTGGAGAATTAATCCTCTAAAAAGGTTTCAACAGTCAGATCAATAAACTGAGACCAATAAGAGATAGTGCTTTGCCTAAGGTCATGGAACAAGTTTGTGAGAGTCAGCGTCAGAAGCCAGGGGTTCCAACTCCTTGGGCCAGGATTAGGTGGCCCGGAACAACAGGGACTCGTAATATGGACTGAATTTACAAAGTATTATCCAAGTCTTCCTGTAGAATAGGTCCAGGGGACTGTTCAGAAGGACTCCCTTAGCTGGTGATCCAGGGCAGAAGCATCCTTTTGTGGCCCATCACCCTACTAGACATGGCACATACTCCTTGACTCTCTCTAAGGTTGTGTGTTAGATGAAATTGCATTTTTTACCAAATTGCATCTTCAGCACTGATTTACACTGTACAGATGGAATTGCTATTTTACAAGGGGGAAAAGCTTTTATCCTTAGAAGTAATAAAAATTATTTAGAACAATGCAGCAAAGCTTCCTAAAGTGATTCAGGTAGCATAGAAGATATACTCTTCTGATAAAGGATTACAAAAATCAATAACAGGGTGTACAAGATTACTAATTTTTAGAAAACATAAACATGTGCTTTGTGGCATTTTACGATGCACACCTTGAAGGCCTAGGATTCTGTCGGTGTTGCATTTGGGGAGCAGGTAGGGTTTTGCCTCTTGCCTCCTCCCCCTACCAAACCAGATTATCTCTGCTTTAACCTCTTGTAGATTAAGGTTCTATCTAGGATTTTATTTGGAGAAAAAGAGAAGTATTGAAATCTTGCAAGTGGTGGCTATAGATATCAAGTGAGGTAACTACGATATGGAAGGCTTAAGGATAAATCCCTTTGTAGGTTACCTTTCAGAAAAAAAAGTTGTGCAGTGTAGTACTTAAACGTTCAGGGTTCAAGTTAGACGGCCTGAGTTCGAATCCTAACTCGACCTACTACTTATGGGACCTTGCATATGTTCCGTATCTTCTCCCTGCCTCAGTTTCCTCATCTGCAAAAGAAGGTGATCACAGCACCTACTTCATGGAGTTGTGTTATAAGGATGCAATGAGTCAACATGCAGAAAGCACTTAGAACAATAGTGCCTGAGATATGAGTTCTCTAAGTTCATGACTTGCTGCTTCGTTATCTCCCCAGTCATGAAAGAAAAGCTTTATATTCTGGGTCTGGGATGACAGGACCCACAAAGACCATCAGGTGCAAGTCTCTCATTTTACAAATGAAGAAAGGAGAGAAGGCCCACGTTAGAGAAGTGACTAGTTTAGGGGCACACAGCTAATTAATTACTCGGGTTTCAAGGCCTCAGAGTCCACTTTGCCTGGGCCTGTTGGGTTTTTCAGGCAATTAGTCAGATCTAGTATCATGCCACCAGCTGGCTGACTCAGCTGGACAGGTAGACCTGAGAACTGCAGGGAGCTTCTCGCCTGGTCTCATCACTGTAGGTGATCGGGGGACACAAGTCTAGATTGCTGAAGGGACATATTCTAGGCCCTCCACAGTGAGTGACAGATCTTCTAGTTGGCTCCCACTAACATCATTTTTGTTTGTTTGTTTTTTTGTTTGTTTTTGGACGGGTAGTCAAAACCTCTAAGCCAATCTGTGTGGATGTAGTGTAGACACAGTAGTTGTGTAACCCCACTTCCCGGGATGGTAGAGCAGAGTCAGGGTTTCCATCGATACGGCCGCTGCCTCCATCATTCTCTGCCTAGCTCTGCTGTGTGCACATCGCTGCCATCCAGAAATGTTTAGGGGTGTCAGGCTCTCCAGAGAGACTCACCCCAGCTGCTAGCAGTGAGGAGGTTGGAGGCCGGAGCTCATTCTTTCTAGCAACTCTTGGGCAGTTCATCTCTTGTCTTTGGAGGATGAGTCAGGTAAAGATTATTACAATTTAAATTCTTCATCTCTGCACTATTTAGCCAAAAAGAGCTTGGAGATAAACAAATCCAACCTAGGCCTTTTTTAAAAGTGAGGGGCGGTAGTCAGTTTCCCTAAAACCAAGCATTGAGAGTTACTTAGTTCCTATGTCAGAATTCACATTCTGGCGACAATTCTGGGGGAAAAAATTAAGCCGCAGATTTGCCGAGCTAATAGCTGTCTAGATCATGACTTGGGGTTACATTTCTCACAAAAGGAGAGTGCTTTTGTGTCTGAGGGGTAGGCTGCTGGGGTGCCTGTAACTGACACAGCGAGCCCCATAACCGGGGAAGAAATGACTTCATTCGGAGAGGAGGATGGCTCTGCTCAGATGCTCAAAGCCTGTGAGGGGAGCTGATGGTTAGGATGGGGTCCACTACTTCCCTTCCTGACCAGCCTGCTGAATAACTGCATGGCCACCCACTGAGCAGTCGCATGTCTGGGCACTCCCACCCTGCCTCTGACACTCTCTGTGGGATAGCCTGTGAGGGGCAGGGGTGGCTTCTTCTTCCTGGTGGGCCTGGAGTGAGCTGAATAGGGGGTTCCACCACCCACTCCTGTGCAGCCCTCCTGCAGGGCCTGGGTTAGGGCTGAACCCCTACGAGGCTGGCACTGCAGGGATTCTCAGAGACAAGAGGCACACCCAGAGGTGGCTTAGGGGTAGTGTTAGAGATCTCTCTTACACCCTCTAATGCTGGGGGATCCAGGTACCTCTGCATTCCTTCAGTGTGGGTCACAACATAGGGCAGAGATGACCACATGCTTCACAACCTGTGCGTGAGATGGAGATCCAAAGCCTTTCTGTTTCTTGCTTCCTGTCCCCTCTGCCACCCATTTACTTACTGCCTATAGACACTGTGCTGTAAGGATTAGGCATGTGGGCTCTGGAATCAGATTGAATACCAGTTCAACCCTGCTCTTTGGGATTCTGGGTGAAATATTTAGTTTCTCTGTGCCTCAGTTTTCTCATCTATAAAATAGGGATGATATGTGCACTTGTGGGTTGATGTGAGAAATAACTGAGAAAACATGGAAAGTATCTACACAATGACTGACCTAAATAAGTGCTCATAAAAGTTCTAAACATGGTTATATGTCAACGAAAATATTAGGTTAAGTAGAGATGTGACACTTTCGAGCAAAGATAAGATATTTGGATAAACCTGAGCATTGTTGTTTCTCCATGGCAGATCTCTCATATACATTCTTATATTATTCCACATCCTGCATTTATGGGCATTTCCCCCACCATTTATACTTATTCTTCATGGCTTACATTCCATCCTTAGGAATAAATATAATCTAAATTCTTCAAGGGGTCAATTCTGCCTCTCTCAGGGGAGTTCTGAAGAGTACAAACTCTAAAAAAGAATATCTGATGTCAGATGGTGGACATCTTGGGCCCCTCAAGGCAAAAACAACTCTTTTGCCTGCATGGAGAGGTGAGCAGGGTTACTAAACCAGAATTAGGACGGAGCCAGAAAAGCTGTGAGCCAGATCATCAGAGTGGCGTCCGCCAGTGGATTGAGAGGCAGGAGGGCAACGTGGTTAGCAAGATGACTAGAACTAGCTGATACAGATGATCGCAAGAGATACATCCTGACATTGGAGAGAACTTAAGTTGGTGGCCATCAGACAGCAACCACAAAGGCATTGATATTGTGGGAGGGTAGATGGCAAAGACACAGTAGTAGTGAGGCCTATTCTGTAGTTTTGATGGGCCCACATTCTCGGTTGTTCTTTGGAAAGATGCTATCACATTTATCATCAGGGTGAGAGATAATCATTAAGATGAATAAGGTCCCCCTGCCTCCTCCAGCCAGAACACTTTAATCCGTAAGATTTTCCCAGTTTTGTAAAAGCTGCCCGAATTCTCTGTGGTCTCCTGCTTCCTAACAAAATGAAGCCAGTTTCAGGAAGCGGCTGGCTTCTCAGGCTCCGTAGTGAGTCGCCCTGACATCCGAGCCCACCGAGGGAGAGGCATTGACTCTGGCTTTCTGGCTTGCAGACGATGACCACTGGATCATCGACACGGACTATGACACCTATGCTGTGCAGTACTCCTGCCGCCTCCTGAACCTCGACGGCACCTGTGCTGACAGCTACTCCTTCGTGTTTGCCCGCAACCCCAATGGCCTGCCCCCTGAAGTGCAGAGAATCATAAGGCGGAGGCAGGAGGAGCTATGCCTGGCCAGGCAGTACAGGCTGATTGTGCACAATGGTGAGTGGACAGGCGGGAGAAAGCGGGGCGCTGGTTGGCTCTCCTGAGGGGTCAGGGAGCAGTGAGTTCGGCCTCACCTGTCAGTGAGATACGTTTTATCTGCATGGAAGAGAAAACAGGGAGCCTTGGGAGACGCTCTGAGCCCAAGTTTTGGTCCTTCTTGAGCAGAGCCTTCACTGACCTTATGGGGCGGATGCAGGAGTGGGCAAAGACTTTTTTCCAAAACCCTGGCACTTTTAATGAAGTAAAACCGCAGGGGACATGTTCTTCCTTTTTTCTGCTACCTTTGGCCCAGTCTTTGCACTGCCCGCAAAAACAACAACAACCCGTTTTGACTGAATTAATATTACTTGGGGATTGAGTGGCCCCAGTAAAGATCTGAGCACTAAATGTTGCCACTGGTGTAAAAACTTATAGAGAGACATCACCATAGCAAGTTCAAAAGAGAAGGATTTCAACAAATGCTCTTTCTCTGTTATGGAACCAAATAATCATTAAATTGACTAACTGATTTTCTTCACTTACATTTTTTGAGATTCCCTAGAACAACCGTTGGATCTTTTTATAAGTATTACCCTTGTCTAAGCTTGATTTAAAAACCAAGAACATTCTGGAGGGACGTGTGCTGTCTATTTTGAATTGACACTCACTCACTCCCATGGAAAACTAAGTTTCAAAATCCAGATAGGGTAATGCTAACATGTAGAAAGAAAGAGAACAAAACCAAACTTTTCTGTTGGCCCTCTAACTTGCTGACCCACACTACACCAAACAGATACGAACCCAAACCAAAAACATAAATCAATAAGATTTTGATGTTTCATCCTGGGGCAGCCTAAGTGAAGGGCCAATAAAGGGTTTCACCACAGCCACACTCTAGGCCAAGACTTTACCTACATTATCTCACTTAATTCTCAGAGACACCTTATGAAATAGATACTCTTATTATCCACATTCTACAGATGAGAAAATGGAGGCTAAGAAAGGTTATGAAAGTTACCCAAGGTCTGCAATAAGTATCTGAGTTGGATGCAAACCAAGGTTTTTCGGTAGCACTGAAGCCCCTTGTGACACCGCCTGGTGATACATGGTACAGGATACAGTGAACATTCTATGAAACCACTAACAGAGTGGCTGAGATCAGGCTGACTTGGCTTCTACTTTCTGAAATAGGAGGATGTGCCCCAACCCTTTGAAGTGCAAGTTTCAGGCAAATTTAAGACAAATGGAAAGAACACCATTTCATACAGCAGATCCCATTCTCTCAGCCCCCAGGGAAATTCAAAGAGTTGCAGCAACAGCCTTGATGATATTTATGAATTATAGCCACATCTAGTTATGTAATGTTACAAGAAGCACTTAAATAAAGCTGAGCCCTGAGGCCATTATGACATTCATAATCTACATTAAACCCTGGGACCGCCTTTCTGTTTTTAATGGCTTTGTTTTCTGTATTTCAGGTTACTGTGACCGCAATTCAGAAAGAAACCTTTTGTAGCAGTATCGAAGATGTCAAGTTTCATTTGAAAACTTCCCACTAACTCTCACTCAGCCTTCAAGTCTATTTATCTTAGTTTAGTTTGACCCTCAGGAAACATAAAACCTTCAGTACACATAAAAATATATGTGGGAATAAGTGAATCTGTTTGCAGTCAGATATATGTCTTACTGGGGTTTCCTAAGGAATCATTTGAGGCTTAGGATTCCAGACTTTGATTCATTAAAGTATAGTCACCTGTTTCCTATGATTTGGGTTTTTATTTGTGTTCACGTGTGTGTCAAGTTGAGCAGTGCTGTAGATGGTTGGGTAGGGTACAGTTTTATATCCCAGAAGGCGGTTTTCCCTCCTTGGATCTTTATGACCTTTGGCCTATTCTAGTGTCTAATCTCCATTGTTAATAACTGTGGTTTCTCCCAACTTCCTGAAAAAGGGTGTTCCCTATTAACCCAGGAAGGCCTTTACTGCCAACCTGCACAAGGCACCAAGGCCAAAGGAGCAGGTGAGTGTAGGCTAGGCCAGGCCAGTGAGCCCAAGGCCTCAGTCAGCCCTGGGCCCATGAGGCGGGCAGCACAGCCAGCTCACTCAGCTGGGTTTGAGAGGATGAGAGGCATGGGCCTGGGTGAGCTCTAGTCAACACCCCCCAGCCTTTCATTGTTTCTAGCACTTCATTCACTTCTAGTTCAGACTTGGCCAAAATGTTGCAAGGAGGAGGCCTCAGGCTTTCCTGGCAGAATTGGGACATGAAGCCTTTGGAAGCCAGGCCTGGAGGAAGATCACGGTGTTCCCCCCGCCCCCCACCTGGAGCATGCAGGAAAGGGGATGGAGTAGCAGCCGGGACTGGAGCAAATACCAGTGTCCCACTCCATCAGCAGCACTTGTGAACATTAGTGTATAACCACATGCAAAAGCCATGTGCCTCAGTTTCTCATCTTGAAAAGGAATAAGGCTTTGGTACCAGAGAGTATTGGTTTTAAGTTAAAATCCAACTTAGAGATATACCGGGGGTGCCAAACAAATGTCTACACACGACTTGTATTCATCTTTTGTTATCGGTATGTATTGATATATATGTATTAAAATTACAGTTTTAATACAGTGTTTCCCTTTCTTAAAATGTGCATACATTTTTTTTGGCACCTTCTGTATTAGCTGTGAGATTTGAGGCTGATTACATTGCTTCTCTGAGCCTCACTCTTTTGTAAAATATGGGGAAACAGTGTCTGTTTGATGGAATGCAGTGAGGATTCAATTAGAGAGCATTTAGGAGCTGTGTAAACACTGGGAATGCCCAGCTGACAGCTATGAAGTATGTCGGGAGGTTGGGAAGGGCACCTCTCTCCCGTGTGCATGGAGATGTCTGCCTAGGTGCTGGCATATCAAGGGCCCATGGGAGGCTCCTGGGTCCCACCCCAATGTTCTTGTTCTCCCAACAAAGAGGGAGGAGCCAAGTGACCATGTATGGGAAAGCCCTGCCTGTCATCACACAGAACAGCAGACTGTGAGAGCCAGGCTGGTCAGCTTCAGTTTAACAAGCCCAGAGACCCATAAGATAGCCACACATCACTTCAAAATACAGCTTTAATTCACCAAATCTATTAACTAAAGATGAACCCAAAAATCCATTCTCGAGTTTGTGAACACCATAAATCTTCAGAAGCAAGCAACTCATGAAATTCCATGAGCAATGGCAACTACTGGTGCTGATATACTCAGCAATGAAGACTTGTTGAGCACTTACTATATGCCAGGCCCAGAGCTACTATGCATTCCAGCCATGGGCCCAACTTCCATGTGATGGCATGTTGTTGGGTCCTCTTTAGCTCTGGTTTCTTCTCTCTCTCTTCTCTCCCAGGGATAGGCCTGTAAACCCTATCTCATGACTCCCAACATTATATCAATCATCAGGCCCACACTCCACATCCCTGCATCCAACTGCCTACTCTCCATTTGGATCTCCCTGAGGTTTCACACTTACAAGCCCCAAATGCAACTCTTGGCTCTCCCAGCCCCAGTCTTCCCCCCATTTTTGTTGCCTGTCCCACCACCCAAACAGTGTCAGACTACAAATGTGAAAGTCACCCCTGAGTCTTCTTTTCCTCACATTCTACATCTCGTCCATCAATAAATTGTGTTTGCTCCACCTTCTCAAAGTATGTCCCAAGATCATCTCCCAAACCCCCACCCCACGTTTTAGAGTCATCCCATTTTCTCTCTGAGTCCATGACACTGCTTCTCTTAAAGGGGTCCATAGCATTTCTTCTAAAAGACAAAAATATGTCACCTTTAATTGTTCCTTGGAAATTCCTCGAGCGTTTTTGAAATTAATGAATGATCCTTTAGGCCTTATAAGTGCAAGGCGGAGACCTAGGGTGGCCGTGACCCTTCAGTGACCCTTCAGCAGAGAGATCTGAGTCCTAGATAAGTCTTAAGACTTACTTCAGAAACCAGCAAGGTGTGGCTTTATATGTAGAAGATGTGATTGCTGAACAATTATAAATAAAAATTTTATTCAATCATATTACAAACACACTGAAAAAGTTCATATTTAAAGGAACCCATAACAAATCCTTTTGTAAAGGATAACATTCTTATACTGAATGACCACCCCTTAATTTACTGGTGCTATAAATGTATAATTTGCATAGGTTTCATTTTCTTGGGATACTCAGGTGTGATGATCCTGGAAATTAACTCCCTTTGAAAACACACCATGGCTTGTTAGAGAGTGACAAACTGCCTACAGAGAAAAATTAATTAGCTGGTAATAATAGACAGGTCATTTCTTCTGAAAGACGTGTCTGTAAACATGGCCCCCTTGTCCTGGAAGAAGAAGCGGCGAAAAATTTTCCTCCATTCGTTCCTAAACAGTGACATGTTGTAGAGAATGGGGTTTAGGGCCGAGTTGGCGAACGTGAAGGCCACGACCCAGAAGAAGAGGGACGGCCAGATGACCAGGTCTCGCTTGAAGTTCTGGATCAAGATGAGGACGATGGTGATGATGATGGGGCTCCACATGATGAAGAAGGAGATCATGAGCAGGAAGAGGGTGCGGAAGAGGCGGAAGTCCTGCTGGGACACGCGGATCTGGTGGCTCTCCGAGTAAGCCATGTTCACTGTCAGCCTTCTCCTCGACGCCTTTGTGATCTGCAGGAACACAAAACAGGGCTGGAGCCACGACTGAGTGCAGATTGTCAGGGGGTTTTGATTTAGGAAGAACAGAGGGCCCCAGAGTTGAAATCTGCTGCCCCCGCTGCACTGGGACTATTTTGTGCGGAGAGAGCTTCGTTTTCAAAGAGCTGAAGCACTGCAGGAGCTTAGAGTGGGCTGGAGAAATGGGCACCTGGCTTGCACCCTGAGAAACGAGGCAGAAAATCGTCCACCTCGTAAAGAGAGCTGATGAGGGTAGTAAAAAGCCTGAAATGCATGGTCTTCAAGAGGGGTATGTGAATAGAAGCACATTGCTATGGTCTGAACGTACCCCCCCACCCCATTCATATATTGAAACCTAACCCCCAAGGTGATGCTATTAGGAGGTGGGGCCTTGGGGGGTGGGGTGATTTGGTTATGGGGACAAAGTCCTCTTGAACGGGATTCGTGCCCTTAGGAAAGAGGTTAGAGAACTCCCTCGGCACTTCCACCTTGAGAAGACACAGTGAGAAGTTGGCAGTCTGCGACCCAGGAGAGGGCTCTTACAAAAACCCTACCATGCTGGGTTTCTGATCTTGGACTTCCAGCCTTCAGAACTGTGAGAAATAAATTTCTGTTGTTTATAAGTCTGTGGTATATTGTTATGGTCGTCCAAATAGACTAAGACACACAGCTGTCCTGTTATTTCTTTCTTTTCTTTCTTTCTTTTTTTTTTTTTTGAAGGAGTTAAGTAATTAATTGTATAAAAGCATAACTGAGTTGTGCTTCAAACTCAAACAATGTGAGGTAAAAAAAAAACTATCAGGCCTCTAGCCTGTGTATCCTCCATTTCCACTTTCTGGAGGTGACCAAAGTGAACAAACAGTTTCCGTGTGTCCTGGAAATGCTCCACCTCCACACACATGCCTGGCTGTGGGATCATCGGCTACTGCACTTTTGCTTTGTACACAAATGGGACCATGCCATGCATCTCACTCTGACCCTTGCTTCTTGTTTACTTGCAAACTGTGGTTCAGCAGGTCTGGGATGGGGCTAAGATTCAGCATTTCCCACAAGCTCCCATGTGCTGCTGCGGTTGCTGATCTGAGGACTACGCTTTGAGTAACCGAGCCTACTCCACCCTTTCATTGTAACAGGTGAAGAATTAAGATCCTGAGAGAGGGTTTAGCCCAGCTACTTTGAAAACAGGAGCCTTGGAAATATTCACTTCAGAGCAAAAGCCCCATGAAAGCTGAGTCTGTGAGAGAGAAGGTGGGCTGCCCTTTTAGGGTCTTTCGGGCAGAAGGTGTTGGGCTGGCTGGGTGGGTCTGACCTCCTTTGTGTCTGGAAAGTGTCCAGTGTTCAGGTGCATCCTGCCCTTCTGCCTAATTCTAATTGTCCTTTAAGCATAGCCAGGGGGCAGAAGGCCTGCTGTCCTCTATGACTTGCTCAATGGTGCCAAGAGATTGTTGGGGGCAGGGGCTGGTGATGGGATGAGGAGGACAAACTGGTACATTGCTAGCCCAGGATGTGATGGGGCATTGTACCTGTTAGCCTGACATGCTTTGTGCCAGCCTGTGACCTCTGTCTAGGGAAGAGATTCAATTCAGAACATTTTGGCCACATGCATGGTCCTTGCTAACTCCCAGTTTCTTAATCTGGCCCTATGTCCTTCTGCTGTGGCCATGCAGGTGGGTGCTTACATGTCTGGAGATTTTAATGGCCACAAATCTCATCATTAGCGGGCTTTCCTAGGCCCATTCCCCTAAGATTTTTGAATCTCAGGAGGGGAAGTAATTAGAAGGCAATTACCATCATTCACAATGTGGGCAAGTTTAACTCTAAGATCAGAATGGCTTAAAACAGCCTTCTTAGAATACTGCATCAGAGTCACCTGGCACTCAATAAAAGGCACCTGCTTGGGATATTCTGATTCTGTGGGTCTGAGTGGGGCCCAGAAATCTGCACTTTTCATAAACTCCCCAGGAGATTCTTGCTCACTAAAATATGAGAACTAATCTAGGACAAAAGACTTGGTGTTTGTCCCCAGGCCTTTGAAGACAGTTCCTTTTTAAACCTTCACACTCACATGAGTATCTGAAGGCCGTGAGGGAAACTTCTCCCCACCTCACACCCTTTGCCACTCCATGCCACCAGACTATGGTTGCTGACAGGTAGGTGCAGGGAGAGGCCACTCCCTGCTGACACAGCTCAGGTCCGTGGGCATCGGGTCTCTTTTGGAAGCTGCTTGGTCAATCACTAACTTCCTGATTAGAATCGTCAGACAACAGACTCCCTCTTTCCGGAGTGCCCACCTCCCCTCCCTTTCTATCATCAGCAAACAGGCCCCAAAGCTGGGAAATAAGGGTCAGGAGTGGGGAAAGGGCTGTTTGTTCACTACCTAACACCTTCATGTTTAAACTCTGAGATAGGCAAGGATTTTCCAACTTCAAGCCACAGACTAAATCCCGTTCAAGAAATACTTATTGAGCCCCTACTATGTGCCAAGCACTCTTACAGGTGCAGAACATACAGCATTAAGCAAGAGAGCCCTGCCCACCCTGCACTTCCATTCTAGTGTGTAGTGGGGAATAGGGAGAGGGAATAAGAAACACATAAACTGTCACAAAGGGTAGAAGCATCTCATCTTGCCATGACAACAGCTGCTGGGTGACAGTGTAAACCAAGCCCAACACTTAACGTTGACAGCCTTATTGAAGGCACTTGGGAGTGGCTGGGAGACTATATTCCTGGGAAACAGTTGATTGGAAAAGGCCACTGAAGATGTATAGCATGGCTGAGTCATAAGGAAAGAGGATGCAGGGAAGGCAGAAGGGTGGATAAGGCCACTGCCCTGAGCACATGAAGCGGCCCCGAAGGGAAGAACCCAGGTGAAGCCTGCATTCAATTCCTAACTGGGGCAGGGACTTGAGAGCAGTTTCCCAAACGAGATTCCATAGAGCACCAGTCCAGAAAAGAGGGCTCCGTTGTCAGATTTGGCAATGCTGCCTGCTCTATTCCTGTGTTGGAGATTCCCAAAATACATTAGCATAATAAAAGCTCTGAGAAGTCCTGCAGCAAAGAAACCCATTTAACTTTGATTAACCCAGCATTTCCCAAACTCTATCTTGGAACGCTTTCTAACATCTAACATCCCATGGAGTTCTAGAAAATGCCCTAGAGACTTCTTTAGAGGAATAAAACATCAAGGTGATTTGAAAGAGGCACTTCTCAGGCCTAGAGATGGAACCTGAGTTAGAGGCAGTATTGACAGGTGAGAGGGTTGGGCTGGTGGGAAAGGGGTGGGTGGCTTAGTTCCGTGTCCCATGGCTTCAGATGATTTGCTAATTGTGTCTGTATGAGTACGGCCAAGTAACATTGATTTTACAGAGTTATGCTCTTGACAGAAAAACAAAACAAAACAAAACAGAAGAAAACCTCAGCAGAAAAGCTGATTCAGTGTCTCTGAGTATGAATATCTTCAGGGGGAGAGAGATGCACACTGTGAGGACCTGCCCAGACCCTCCATTCGCCTGGCAGCAACTTGCCTGCCTCCAAGCTACTGGCCTGGCAAACCCACAGGCGCAAAGTGAGGATAAATGTCATAGTCCTCCTGGGAAATGGGCAATAGTTTTGCTAGTGGGATGGGAAATACTTTTATTAGAGCCTTATATTTGCATTAACACTGTGATTTTCAAAACATTATCATATCAGCACTCTCATTGTGTTGTGTTAAACAGTCCACTGAGGCTCATTTAGCTCCAGAGAAAACTGAAGCCCATATTCATTAAGTGACTTGCCTAAGGTCACACAGTGATAAAGCTTGGAGTAGAACCCAGGTCTTACGACTCTTTGTCCAGTGATTTTGCCAAGAGAAGAAGGCACTGTTGGCCTTTCAATGTGATCCAAGACTTCTGCCTTACTCATTCAGGGTTTATTGAGCACTTACGATGGATAAGCCAGGCCCTGTTCTAGGCACAGAGCTACAATAGTAAACGAAGTCTTTGCCCTCATGGAGTTTGCATTCTGGTGGGAAAGTAGATGATATACAAGCAAACACACATAACTGAAATATGACAGGGCTTATAAGTGCTTTGAAGAGAAATAAATCAGGGTAACTAGTGAATGATGGGTAGTCTTTCTGGAGAACAGCCTTTTGAATAGAGACCTAAATGAAGTGGCGGGGATGGCCCATGCAGAAATTTGGTGAAGAGAGATGCAGGAGAGGAAACGGCAGGTCCAAAGACCACGAGGCAGCAGTGTGTTGGTGTATGCGAGGAATAGCCCCAAGGCCAACATGGACACAAGAGAGGGGAGAAGATGAGGTAAGAGGGGCTGGTAGGGGACAGATCACATAGGGCTTTAAGGTAAGAGCTTTGGATTTTGTTCCATGCATGAGGGAAGTGTCCCCAGGTGGGCCCTGGCCTGAGAAAAAGATAAAGGGGTGGGTGGGAAACCTTTCCATAGAATAAGTCAGTCCTCTCTTAGCAGGCAGCTGAGAAGTCTGAGACATGAGTGAAAGGAGAAGACAAAAGCCCTCTTGGCCTCTAAAGGACTCCGGGGCCAGACTGCCTGATGATACTGGGTTTAAATTTTGATACTGCTGCTTATGAGCTGTGTGACATTGGGCAAGTTACTTTAATTTCTCTGTGCCTTGGTTTCTTCATCTGTCATTCTTCTTAGGGTTAAATGAGTTAGTTCCTGACACATTGTAAACACTACATAAATATTTCTTAAGTAATTTTTAAAAAATTCATTCTACATTTTTCTTTCTTTTCCCCTCACTTCTTTTAAAATAACAATAATAGCTAACACTTACATAGCACTTACTCATTCAAGGCCCCATTGTAGCACTTTACAGACCTTGGCTCTGAACAGGCCTCATACCCTTAAACAATCGCCAGATGTGGAGATCACTTAAGGAGGGGTTGGGGGTGGGGGGTGGAATCACAAGTCAACTGGTGGGGAAAAGTCTTGGGAATAACATCTCCCACAGGACCCAGGGATTAGCAGACCAGGATGGAGGATGGCATGGCTTTGGGTTCTGAGCATCTGAAAAGGTTACAGATCCTCAGCTACAAAGAAAGGGCCATAAAAGTGGCCAGACAGCAAGCAGGACCTACAGGGCTCCATTTCAATATCCTTGTTTGCCAGATGACCCATAGTATGCTATAAAACCAAGATTCAACACTTGTAAACCTCTGAGAGGACTCAAAGGCTTTGCACTAAACCTTCTCAAACAAGTGTGAACACATGTACACACTGTTTGCCCTGGCCAGCACTGTACATGGAAACGGGCTGCCTCCAGAGATAGGAAACAGGCAGGCAGGCCTTTTTTATGTCCCTGTACATGCTTGCTTCAAAGGTAGAGACCCTGTCCTAATTCAGCTCACTTTTGAAAAGCACATGTCCTGGAGGTGGGGGCTAGCACCCGGAGGTGGCAGGCGGGAGCTTCCGCTAAGGTTCTGTTTCTCATTCGGTTTCTGGGAGCTGCTTTGGGAGTGTGGTCAGTTTGTGAGCTGTGCATATATGCTGGGTGTGCTTTTCTGTATGTATATTATACTTCAATAAAAAGATTTCTGAAGTGTACATTCTCTATTGCTACATTGCTGTGTGTGGCAGGAAAACAATGGACACAATCCAAAAGCCCATAAAATAAATTATGTCACAGCTGCATGACGGAAGACCATGAAGCCATTAAAAACAATGAGACAGCGATAAAGGAACTGATAGGGGAAGGTGTTACGGTATAGTGTTAAGTGAAAAAAAGAAAATAAGGAGCAGATAGTAAATACATATCTCAAATATGAAAAAAAATATTGGGTTCAATCATGACAAGTAGTTGATATTTGATCATTTTATATGGTTCTTCATATATATATAGAGAGAGCATAAAAGTATGAATATATGTACATTTTTAAGAGACATAACCTGAAAAAAACATACTTTAAATTGTTAACAATGGGGGTAGAGATTTTAGTTTATGTGTTACACATTTCTATTGGTCTTTAATTTTTTTATAATAAGCTTGTATTTAGTCATCAGTGAAAAAGAATAATAACAATCACAAAGATATAACTTTTTTTTTTTTTTTTTGCAGAGGGGGTGGCCCTGGGTAGTGAACCAGATTGGACTGGTGTGAACACGAGGTAACTTCTGACATGCAAATGCCAAGATTCCACATGAAACACCCTGAGCCTGAGTGTAATTCAGCTGTAGTCTGAAAGCAAACATACCTGTAAAATTTTGGAGTAACTGATCACAATGAGCAGTCCTGGCACCAAGAAGTTCAAAGTAACAAATGACACATCCCAGGAGATTTCTCCAGCAATGCTGGGCCAAACCAGCGTGCAAATCGAAATTTCCTGGTTACAAAAAGGAAGAGAAGGTCATTTAAATGATAGCCTTTTATTTGGCCTTTAGCTTAGTCCCAGTTGGGGGTTACCTTGCACTGACACAGCTGTGTTACATGGCTAACCAACTGGCATGACAAGAAATCCCAGAATTCTTTCCACCACCCACACGACCCCACTTACAAATCATTTCTCTCTGACCTCAGAATAATCATAATTATTATTCCCATTCTTTAGGGGAGGCAACTGAGCCTCAGGGTCACAGGCTGGTAAGAGCTAGCATCAGTTCCCAGGTACGACTCCAGGTTCAGTGCTCTTTCCACTTCCTGGGATGGAGCTGCAAAGAGCCTTTGAGCCTTCTCCAAGGCTTTCATTTTACAGATGAAAAAAATGACCCCTGAAAGGTTCCGAAGATTGGAAGTGATGTGCTACACACAAGCATATCAAAACAGGAACCAGGTTTCAGTGCAGTCACACTGTGTATGCTGAAGACAACATGGTCTAGACTCTAGAGGCATTAAGTATTCACCCGGGGGTATTCAAATGTCTACAAAGTGCCCAGCGGCATCGGAGAAGGCCAGGGCTTCCTCCAAGACACTACTGGTGCCCAGATACCGGGGCTCTGTCCTCCTGTGCCTCTCCTCCAGAGGAGCACGCCGCAGCCCTAGAGCAAGATACAACCACAGTTCTCTGTCAGTTTCAGACATACAACCACTGGAATGTGGCGGAAGAGCGTGAAGGTTTGTGGCCTTGCTGCCTTCACAATGTTGCGCTGAATTCAAATGTTTGATACTAATACAAACCCCAAAATAGTGGGGGCCTTACTAAATAGTAAGAGCTGCTGCAACACTTTCTTCCAATAAATAAGTCAATGAAAAGAGTCCGATCTACCTACCCGCCTACCTACCTACCCACCTACCTACCTACCTACCTACCTACCTACCTACCTACCTACCTACCTACCTACCTATCCATCCTCCCAAACACAAGCTTCCTGTGTCTGCTTGACTATAGGAACAAAACTGTTTAGAAAACAAGTTGCCTTAAACACTACCAAACATGTGCAATAGATTTTTAAATACCACATTGTTGATTTTGGGTGGACAAGAATGTCCTGAAGTAGTATTATCATCCATAGTACCATTCATTCAGTCAGTCATTCAAGCAATATTTATTGAATGCTACACTAGAAAAAACAAAGAATTTTTATCATTTCCCAACATGTATCATAAGTGAGTAGTCAAACTCAAAATACAGTCACATAGTTACTTCTTCAGTATCAACAGAAAATATTCTAATATTCATTGAAAATTTATTTTGTGCCAGGCAGCATTCTATGTACGTTATCTCATTGAATGTTCATAAAAACCTTACTGAAATACATTACTATCTTGCCCCATTACACAGAGGAGGAAACTGAGACTTAGAAACAGTCTCCTAAAATAATAGTCTATAACATTAATGATGTAGTCCTTTTAATCATACAATATTTTCCCTAAAGAGCTAAGTGTTTACAAGGGATATCCAAGGACCTGCCAGGAAAACTCTAAGGCAAGTCAAGCAGGGAAGAATGACTTAATTCTATTTGTATATTGAAAAGGGGAGTGAGAATGTTGCTTGCTTTTCTTATTTTGTTTGAATGGCTCACACTGGGCATTCCAAATACTTGTTCCTCCATACCAATCCCCACTGTCCACACCTGACGGGAGAAAGTTTATTGGATCTTTCTACATTTTGGTGACTGGAAAGAAACTTGTGTCTCTCAAGGATCTTCTGAATATTGGCAGTGGGTGACCATGGCTCTTTAGATAATCCACACAGCCTTCGCTTGTACTCAGCTCTCTGCCAACCACAATCCCCTCATTCTACTACATTGGTGGGCAACACGTACCAACAGATATGCTGAAGCAGTAATCAGACGACACAGATTCTAGCCCTGAATGTGACGTGGTCTGTAATTCTTATACTTGTACAAGGAGGGCAGAAAAACAGATGATCCCAGAGCTGTTTCTCAAAACCCCCAAGAGGCCCCAACTCTTTCCAAAAGCCCTCTCCAGAATGTTTGCAAAACCTCCCCAGGCTTAACAAGATTATGTAGAAGAATGTGTAATGATAGAGCAAGGTGTTCTCCCTACATTAGGGGCAAAAAAACAGATCCCTAAACAATATGCCTTGTCTTAGCCCAGTGTTGTTGAAAAAAATGTGTAAGTGTGAATGAACAGATATGCACGTACCTACACACACACACACACACACACACACACACACACACACACGTTTAAAAAAAAAGACTGGAAGGATACACTCCAGGAAATAAACAGTGTCTGTTTCTAGATGGGACTCTTAAGTTATTATTATTCTTTTGGTTTATCTGAATTTTCTAAATTTTCTATAATGTGCCTAAATGACTTTTATAAGAGCAAATAAATGGCAGTAAAAGTTAATCCTTAAGAGAAATGGTGATCAAATACAAAACATAGATGACCATGACAGTTTGGCAAACCTAACCAGCTAATTTTTCAACAAAGACAATGAACCTGCCCCAGGATGCCTCCCAAATTCCATGCCTCTGATGAAGATGCTCTTTCACCTTTGATTTGTGGCATCCACTCCAGGCACAGAGTGTGATAAGGAAGTAAGATAAGAACTCTGCACAGCACCCCTGTAAATGAACTAAGAGACATTGTGGCTGGCCTGTGTAGACTAAATGACAGATTTATATGCTCTTTAGGAAGCTTTATATGCTATCATTGGTTAAATGCAATGTTTATTCTCATTAAAAAACAAACAAAGAAACAAAAAAACACACCAGGCTCATAGTTAGAGATCTAACTTGGTGTTACAATTTTGTTTCTATGGGAAAATCCCCTTAAGTCATTTTGATTCTAGGTATTCTCCCAGGCTGTGACTTATAGGAGTTTGGCAGTGAGTAAAATCTGGAAGGTGGTGGCACAAGTGTTATCATACTCTCTGTACTTTTTCTGCACATTTGATTTTTTTTTTTAAGATTTTTATTGGGGAATTGGGGAATGGGAACAGCGCTGGGAAATTGGGGGAAGGGGAACAGACAAGTTGCTGTCGTTTTGTTCTTCTGTCTAGTTGTGGAGGACGTTGCTTCACTGGCCCAAGTTGGCACCATCATTGCACTCTTCCCGGGCGAGGCAGATCAGTTGCCGGCTTCTGGACGGCCACTCACGCTGGCTGCTGGCTACACACGGTAGCCCATGGCAACCCACTGCCACAGGGGCTGCAGCCTACGTCGTCGCTGGCGACTCACAGCAGCCCAGCTCCAGGTTGAGCTGTTGTTCAGCATCTTAGCTGTAGAGGGCAGTGTCACTGGCCCTCATATGTGGGCTCTGAACCGGGGCCCTCTGGCGTCCCAAGCCAGTTCTTAAGCATCGTGCCACTCGGCCGGCCCTGCACATTTAGTTTTAAAAAGGAAATTTAAAAACCAAAAGAGGTAGGCCTGCTTTGTTACTTAAATATAGAAGTAGAGTTATTCTTTGATTTGTTGGCTCAACCACTCATTGACCCAAGCCATGGAGGCTGAGCCACTGTGAAGCCACAGTGAGAATGGGCTTTGTGCAGTCAGGGAGGGAGAGGCACTAGGAAATGTCAACATAGGGCAGCAAATTGGAAGCACCCAGAGAATTCCAGGTGACAGGAGAGTGGTGACACCCAGGGGATCTGCATCCAGGAGGGGCTGTGTCACCTGTGCCTGGAAGGATGGGGTTTCATCCAGGGGAAATAATGAAGCAGGGAGCTCACTGTCAAGACCAGAAGGGATGAAGGCAGGACTTGTATCATCCTCCACCCAACCTTTACCTCTCCCTGAAAACCTCGTCCATTTCCATGGCTTCTTTTCGCAGATGCTGCTGCAATCTACTCTTTTAACCCAGTCTTCTCCTGAACCCCAGATTCACCCCACTACTCTGCAGGATGCCTCACAGGCATGTCAAGCCTCCAATGTCTCACTCCCAAAAGGTTCCATCTCCTGTAGTCACTGATTCAGGACATGGTACCACCATCCCCCAAGCTGCCAGAAACCTGAGTACTAGCCTTCTGCCTTCTTCTTTCTCCCTCTTAACTCAGAGGGAACTTCTAAGTTCTGCCTTAATACCTATCTGACCCACTCATATATCTCATTCTCACTGGCCCATCCCATCCCAGACTAGGCCATCTCTCACCACCTAAGTCCAAACTTCCTAACTGCAGGTAACTGTGAAAACTGAATTGTGTCTGGGACTATCTGAGTGCTTGATAAATGCACCCCCTTGAAGAGAAAGACAGTGTCTTGGTCATGTGACTCGTGGTGAGGGCAGGAGGGAGGGGTGCTTAGTAAATGTTTATAGAAGAAATGGGCAGCACATTCTGGCCAGGGTGGACAGTCCTCCCCACCTGCCGATGAGGGTCACCACCACCCCACCAGGGCCACAGCACACACAAGCAGGAATCTCATTGGAACAGGGTGAGCAGACCTAGCTGAGATGTCTAAGTTACTAGGATGTGTCCATCCTCAAAATGGCAGTCTATTATTTTACAGCGATCAGAAGAATTATGCTGTTTGAAGAATGTTTAAAATATTTATAACCAAAGATAAGGATGCTAATAATAGCTGGCAATTCTTGAGCACTTAACTGTGGAGGTGCCAGATGTTGGCCCATTTACTGAACATTAGTTCCCATGACAATCCTATAAGGTTAATGCTGCTACCATGCCCATTTTGCAAATGAGGAAAGTGAGGTATAGAGAGGCAGGAACACTTGCCTTCGTCACACAGCTCCTAAATGGCAGAGATGGGATTTAAACTCAGAGCGTTTGACTCCAAAGCCCACACTCCTAATAGCAAATCATCTAGCACTTTCTGGAATGTCTATCATTTCATCCACCCTTCAGGGAAGTTTAGTCCACCCTGGACTATGACGCACCCACTGCCCAAATGGACAAAGGGAGACATGTTCCTGGTTTGGTGGGGGGTGGGGAGTCCAGATAATCAGAAAGCTCAGAGAGGCACTGTTTCCCTCGCAAGCGCTTTTTTTGAGGGGAGAGAGTCAGTCTGTGCTTGAGGTTAGTTAGTTCTTTCAGCCAGTGGTTTGAGTAGGAAAATGTCCCCCATCCAAAACCTCCATATTTCATGTCCAAGTGGGTGGGGGCAGGCCGAACCTACAGCCAGGAAGCTGGGAACAGAGGACTGAGAAAACAAGCCTCTGCTAATTTTAATGTGAGACTCAGTTCAGTCTAGACTAGATCCTTCTGTCACTTTCTTTAAATGGCCACATTCCTTTTTTTTTTCCTATTTCTCATTCTTTTCAACTTATTTCTTAAACCACTGAGCCTGTTTGCTCACCTGTAAAACAAGAAGTTTTCTGCTTGCTCAAGACACAGCCTTTGAGGAATTGGGTGTTTTTTTTTTCTGTTTGTTGGCTTACTGGCAGGTATATGAGTGTGAGGTGGGGGTGGGGTGGTGGGAGCGTGCACACCACAAAGGGGGAAAGACAAAGAGAATGGGGAGCTGGAAATGACTGTAGAGTTTTCATTCCAAGCTCCTCTCCCTACCTCTACTAATTTCAGGGAACAGGGCTCCTGTAGCCAATTCGCCTGGCCCCCAATCTTCTGAGGTGCTGTGCGTGCTCATTCTCTCCCTGCGCCTTCTCCCAAATTCCTCTCCTAAAGCTCTGAAGACCAAGGAGGTGTCTCTGCGTTAAAACAAGAGGGGTCTGTGTGCCCAGTTCCGAAGGGAACGGAGGGAAGGCCACCATAACACAGATCTCCATGGAAGCACCTTGCAGTACAACTCTGGTCATTCCGGAAGTGGAACGTAGAGGGCTTTGGCCACTCATAGATCCCTACCAGGGGTAAAATACAGAGTAGCCCGACACAGATGGCCCCATCTGTGGGAAGACCTTCTCGCTCAAACAACTACCTGTGTTCATGTTCATGTCAGCAAGCAGTTTCAGTCTGAGCTTTTGGCCTGGAGGTGACATGAGCCTCATTTTTTAGCGTTATTTGCCAGTTAAGTAAAAGTGTACCTGAAACAATTCTAAAAGGGAGAGCCACAAGATACACATCTGGAAACCCTTAAGATATATTGTATTTGATCCTTAATTCCCTGAGTGTCAATTTTTCTGTAAGAAAATAAAATAAAATAAAAACAAGTTCTATGAAAAACACAGAAACAATGTAACTCAGCAAGAATAACTTAAAAAATCAAAAGATTGATGGCAGAGCCCCAGCTCCCAGTAATCCAATTGGTCTGGAATAAGGCCTGGTCTTTCACTTATGTGAGAGGCATCTTTGTGATCCACCTTAATTCTCAGTGTATCTGAGCTGAGGAGGACAAACCTGCCCACTAAGCTAGGGTCCTTGGTCTGCCCATGCCAATGGCACCCACCAGTTTAGCTAATCCCAGCTTTCCTGACTCCCATATGAGGGGACATGCTATAGGCTTACATATCCTATGATCAAGTGATACTAGACAGTTCCCACCTGCTAGTCACAAAACAAACAAACAAGCAAAACCCCCACAATATATTCCACACAAGAAGTAAACTAGTAAGAAACAGACTTTTAGACTTGATTTGTGTTTTTTTAAAAAAAGGAAGAAAGATACTGCTTACATAGGATGCAGACTTCTCCCCACCCTACCCCCACCCGAATAAAAGGGCTGTGTAACAGACTGATCTGGGAAAACCCGCAGAAAAAAACTACCTCTGTGTCCAGGCTCCGGAGGACACACCCAGGGGGACGTCACCTGGTTCTGACCAGGTGTTCACCTTCATAGCTTGAAGCCTTCCCTGGGTGACTTCTGGTTCCCCCTCACTATCTACCCTCCCAGCCCCTGCCAGCCTCTGCACAGGCCTCTTTTTGGGACTGGGGTTTGTGCACAGGGGCCCCACACTCCCTCCTAGTGCCAGGGTTGAGTTTTCGTGGCCTTGCAACCTCTGTAGGGAAAAGGAGGGATGAAAACCCCAGCCTCAGCAGACCCTGGGAGAGGCTGAGCCCAGAGCGAGGACTCGCACCTTCCCCTAGGGCTCACAAGCCTATGTCCTTTGCCTGCCCCTAACACACTGGATGACAGCCAGGCCCGCCGGCCACTGTCCTCCCCCGCCTGAGCCCAGGGTGAATCGCAGCGCGCAAACCCTTCAGCGGCAGAGCAGGTCAGCAGCTCAGACCAGTGCCCGTGATTACGGAGCGCAGGACTGGACTGGACCCCAGCCAAAGTCATGAGCTGTCCGCAAAACCTTTTTTAGATCGTGGACCCTCTCCCAACTCCCCTCACCTGCCCCATGATCCCAATGACAACTCTGGGAGCGCTGCCCAGAATAAAGCTCATGGGCCTAGCCCCTGAAATCTGGGGAACATTTCGGGCGCCCAAGATATCCTGAAATCACCCATCAACCAAAACTTTCAGGGTAATGTCCTGTGGTCTAGTCTAATCCTCTGTCTTGCAGTTGGAAAAATTGAGACTCCGGGAGAGGAAGTCACAATCTCCCTACAGGCAGCACTGGGTCTGCGGTCCCTGGGTCTCGAATGCCCTGTCTCCCAGGCCCATCCAAACCCTCCTGCCCGCGGGTTCTCCAAGCAGGACCCTAGCCCAGCCCACACGTCATCTGCTGAGCACGATCTCAGCTCCCACTCGCACTAAGGGTGAGAAACCCTGAGCGAGCTATTCCTCTGTGTGCCTCAGCTTTCTCGTCTGTAAAGTAGGTGATAATAAAAGTACTGCCGCACCCGGTGAGAAAGCAGACTTCAATATAATGGGATTAGCCGTTCCGGATCCCCGAAGTTCTGTCTGTCTAGCTGTTAAACTCACCGGTACTTCATTAATTTTGCAATAGTCCGTGCACTTTACAGGCATTTGGGGGACTTAACAGAGCTTTGTCGGGCGTTTATAGGACCTAGATCGCAGGGTTGTAGTGAAATTTAAGCGAGAAAACTTCACAGCGCTCGGAACAGTGCCGGACACAACGGTTCAGTGCAACAAATGGCCTATTGTTGTTGTTAATCTTCAGCCCAGGTTACCGTTTCCATCTGATCCCCACCTGCCAGCCCGCCAGGTACACCCGCCCGGCGCTCACCTGTTCGGCGCCGGGAAGACGCTGCGGGACGACTCTGAAGAAGATGAAGAGGGGCAGCGCGGCGAGCGCGGAGTAGCCCCAGATGAGCGCGAGCAGCGCGGCCCGCGCCCCCAGTCCCGGGCCCCGCACCCCACGCTGCAGGCGCACGATGCACACCATGCGCTCCAGGCTGACGGCCGCCAGCGTGAGGATGGTGACACTGCCGCTCAGGCTCATCACATAGAAGAGCAGGTTGCAGGCGACCGGGCCCAGCACCCAGGCCTCAGTCCATCGCACGGCCAGCACGGGAGGAATGGCGCTGGTGAAGAGCAGGTCCGCGCAGAAGAGGTTGAGCACCAGGCAGGCGGTGGTGCCGCGGCGCCGTCGGCGCGCCACCAACACCAAGGCACCCACGTTGCCCAGCAGCGACACTGCAAAGATGAGCGATAGCACGACGGTCTCCACCGCGCTCAGCACCAGCCGGTGGTCGCCCTTGACTTCGGAGAAGAAGGGGAAGCGAGTGCGGTTGTCCCCGGTGCCCGCCGCCTGCGCGCACTCAAGGGACATGCCCGACGGCCGGCGGCCCGCAGCTGTCTGCGAGAGCGCTCATCTGGGAGGTGGCTGAGCGCCGAGGCAGGGAAAGAGGGAGGGAGGCGGTTGCGACATCTCCCCTCTGACCCCCTCCCGCCTGAGGAGCGCCGGCTCTGGGCGTAGCAAAGCTGGACCCGAGACGCGCGGGAACGAGGAAGTGCTAGGTGACAACGGTTAGAAACACCCGGGCTGGGCGGGAGGCGGTGGCCTAGGCAGAGGCATCACGCCCTCCAGCAGGTTTGGGAGCGCTCGAGAGGTCGGGCGACCCCATCTAGTGAACCCTGGGAACCCTCGGAGGCTTGGGGCCTTCTCAGCCTTTCTTCCTCCAGTGGCACCCGGTGTGCGAAGTCTTTAATCCACCAATTTAGCTAAAATTGATTTAGGAGTGTCAGAGCTGGACTTGGGAGAACATTGTGGCTTGTGCTGTTCAGGCTTCACCAAAGAGGCCCCACGTGTCTGGGGGTAAATCCCAAAGCCTCTTGCAATGAGCCCAGATTTGGGGGAGCGGGCGTCGGGGGTGGGGGTGGGGGGTGGCGGGGAGGGAGAATCTTTGGTTTTACCATTGTTTCATAACATGTGACTTTGGGTGGATTGTTTCATCTCTCTGTGCCCCAGTTTTTTTGTGGGGTTTTTTTTGCTTTTTTTTTTTTAGTCTATAAAATGGGAATAATAATATCTCACTGGGTAATTATGAGGATCATATAAAGAGATTAATACAACACTTGACACACAGTTATTTGGCCATGAAGTGTCATCGATTATTAGTTACTATAATTGAAATACATGTAAATTTTGCATTCTGAGCAATGATATAAAATGCTTTTATGTAAAAAGAGTGGGGGTCCCCCAAAATCTTTTTTTTTAAATCTTCTAAACTATTTGGACCTGACAAAACATTTGGAATTTAAAAAAATCTTCCTAGAGACAAGGCCCTGAGCACAGAGTCTGTCCCCCACCATAAAGTTTTATATCAATTATACAGAACAAAATTGGCAACAAATCATCTTTCACACTAGAATGGGTAATTCCTTAGCTGTTCATACAATATCCAAACTGCACACCACATGGCATTAGATTGCTGGTTAACAGTTGAAATCTTTATGAAACTTGACATCCCAGAAAGACAGACATTCCAAGGCTTTCAGGAGCACTCACAGGCTGTGACAGTACCTCAGGCACCCTAGTTTGACAAGCAATGGGCAATCAAACCCCCTTATAGATGAGGTAACTGAGGTACAGCAAGAAGTGACTTGTCCACGGTTAGTAATAAAAAGCAAGTTCCCCTGCCCCTGCCCACACGTTTCCACAACCCTCCCGCTGTCTGTTTTCTGTTATGGTAAACTAAGCAGTTAGAGAATGTAAAGTGTGCCTGTTGCGCTAGACTCAGTGACCACATCCCTGACTAAACACCCTCCCACCACCCAAGCCCTCACACCTCTCCCCTTTGCCACACTACCAGGCTTCTTCCAGGTGTCCATTTGTCTTGTGATCGTCCATCTCTGTGTATTTATGAAAGGTGCAGTGAGGAAGTCTGAGTGCTCTCTGGGGACGGGGTGCATTCGTGTGTCTGCTTATCACAGTGTCATGTGGGTCTGAGCTGACAATGTGACATCTGACCTGAGGGGCAGATTGCATGTCGGTGGTAGATGCTCAACTTGAACCTTGACTACGTTTAAGTTGTAAAACAACCAGTTTCCTTCTGACATGGTTGAAAAGGGGCAAAAGATTAAAATAAAGGGAACTCAGCTAGAATGTGGCACTCTGGTTGGGGTCAGGGGACATTAGCTTTCATGTGAGGGAAAGGAGAACTGTGTGTATGTGTGAGGGAGGGGATGAAAGAGAGAGGGAGGGGGATTGCATTATCCCAGGCTGATGTGCCATGGGGACAGGAAGAGGTTTCCCCAGAGTGGACAACCGGGGTGAGTTCTCTGGGCTAGAAGGCCTTCTCCATCACGACCCTCCAGGGTTCTCCCAATGGCAAAATGGTGAGCGCAGAGGTTCCCAAACTTTTTCCTTTCCATCACCGTCAGGCCCAAAGGAATACCTAACAGTTTCATTTATTAAGCAACTGGGTCCAAATGACTTAATAAGACTTTATGTCCTAACAACTTAGTAGCTATCTAGGAAAACAATAAATATAAATTGAAAAACAAAATATTTGTTTCATTTTTACATAACTGCAGTGACTTCTTAATGCCTGTTGAGCTCTACAAAACTGGGAATGAGATTGGGCACTGCCACTCACATTTCCTGCTCCACATACATTTTTCACGTGTCTGTTTTTCATCACAATAAACCCTGAAAACCCAGCTCTGTAAATGGATTTAATGTTGAAACCATGAATGGCCTAGAGCTAGTAGTTCATGCAGAGTCCCATGAGTGTTGAATAGCGCTGTGTTTCCCTGGGCACCGAGCACACCTGGGCACAGTGGTTAAGAACACAGGCTTGGAAACTCAACTGCCCGTATCCGAATCCTGGCTGTACAACTCACTGTGTGACCTTGGGCAAGTTACTTTAGCTTCTGTTTCTTCAGTCTTCCCATAAAAGAGTATAATAATTGTACCAACCTCATAAGGTTTTGGTGGGGGGAGTGGGATTAAATGATCTAAAGCATTTAGCACAATAGTCATCAAATGGACACTGGGTCATGGTCAGTGCTCAACACTATGTGGACTTCAGGACCGATCACACGTCCCCATTTGCAAGACAGTCTCAGGTCATGAAGTTATCATTAGAACCCTCTTTCACTCTCAAATTGCCCTGGTTTGGAGGATAAATTATATGGTCAACCTACCTGTGTTTATTAACTCAGTCAGTGCTCCCACAAGTTGCAGGCACTGGGATTCGAATCGGGCATCCTAACCCCAACTCCCCTCCTCTTAACCACCAGAGCAGTGCTGCTTCACTGGGGAATATTTTGTGTGTGCGCGTGCACACACACACACACACACACACACACACACACACACACAGCCACAGAGACATTTGGTAATGACTGGAGACATTTTTGGTTGTCACAACTGAGGGATTGCTACTGACATCCAATGGGCAGGGGAGAGGCCAGGGATGCTCCTGTACATCCTATATGCACAGGATAGCCCCGCCCCCCCAAAAGAATTGTCCTGCCTAACATGCCAATAGCGCTGAGGTTGAGAAATCTTGTCCTAGAAGCTGTGCCTCCTTGGGACCTCACCAGACTTTACCTCTTACTGTCGTTCTCTGTTGTGAATTCCCACCAAATGGCAAAAGCCAGAAATGTTATTTCCCTGACAGGGATTTCACTGAAAACTCTATATCCCTTTTTTTTTTAATTGGGTATTGGGGGAGGGAACAGCATTGGGGAATCGGGAAGGGGAACAGACAAGTTGCTGTCCTTTTTTTCTTCAGTCTTGTCCTTTTTTTCTTCAGTCTAGTTGTGGAGGACATCACTTCACTAGCCCATGTTGGTATTATGATCATTGCGCTCTTCCCGGCTGAGGCAGATTGGTCGCTGGCCTCTGGATGGCCGGTCGCTCACGGCGGCTCACAGCAGCTCTCGCCGGCTGCCGGCCACTCACACTGGCTGCCAGTCACTCATGGTAGCTCATGGAAGCTCATGGCAGCCCACTGCAGCCCCACTGCAGCCTACGCTGTCACCAGCGACTCAGTGCAGCCCAGCTCCAGGTCGAGCAGTTGTTCACCATTTTAGCTGTAAAGGGCAGCGTCACTGGCCCATGTGGGATCCGAGCCGGTGGCACTGCTGCTCAGAGCTCACTCTCCCAAGTCAACTCTTAACCAACAAGCCACTCAGCCGGCCCAACTCTATATCCCTTTAACCAGCTCATGGGTGAGGGTCAGCATCATGCCCTGGACCCTGATGTGCACAGCTGCCAAATCCCCTTGGTCCATGGGACTGGGTGCAGAATCATCAGGGTGGACTGATCTCACGTGTTCCTCGGAGACTACATGGCAGGAAACAATGGGCCAAGCCCTCATGAGAGTTGTATTTATTGCTTATGGTAATTAATTACTATTATTATCATGTACCGTTGCCTCTTCACTCTTAGATAAAATGGTAGAAGCAGAGACAAGGATCCACCAAGTGTAAATATAGACAGTCTAGTTTCTGAACTAAAGGGAAGGCCTCATGGAGGGATTATTTCTGTGTCAGTTAATTTTATATTTTTAACCAAACAGGAGGAGGGGATTTTTTTCTGTGTGTGGTTTTCGTACTTTTCCTTTAGAAAATTTTTATAAAGTTTGAATGCAAATGTTTATTGGCCTATTTCTTCCTCTTCAAACCTCCCTGTGAGTAGTCTATCTATCTATCATCTATCCATCTATCTCTATCTGTCTATATCTATTGGGTTCGAGACATGGGTCCTTACAGGGATCAGAGTATCTCTTTACAAAATTAAGATCTATTCTAGAGAAGAATAAATAAGGCGCTCATCCCTGTGTAAAGGTTTGAAGTCTCCCTCTGCCTCCGCACCTCTCTCCTCCATCTTGTCAAGGTGGGTTCCTAACACATTCCTGAAGCCAACTGCTCTGAGCATTCCCAGCTGAGTAGCCCCCTCAGCAAGGCAGTGGGGTCAAGGGAGGGCCAGCTTGTGCTCTGAGTAAGGCTCCCTGTGTTCCTTCTTCAAGAAGGCTCAAGTGTTTCCAGGGAGAAAAGGCATTGAGAGGAGTTCCAGCACATGCAAACGTCGGGAGGCGTGGGGGCGGCCGGGTGGCTCAGTAGGTTAGAGCGCATGCTCTAAACAAGGTTGCCAGTTCGATCCCCGCATGGGCCACTTTGAGCTGCACCCTCCTTAAAAAGAAAAAAAAGTGGGGAGGCTTGAGAGAGCCCAGGGAAGGGCAAGTGCTTTCATGTACTTCCAGCCTGTAATCACCTCTACTGTCCATAGCATACCTATCAGCCAAAAGAAAGAAACCCAAGTAGAAACTGGAAAATGAAAAAGCTAAACCCAACTGGAATGAGTGATCAGCCACTTGGTTGTGAAGTGACCCAACCACAGCTAGCACATGCAATGCTTCACATACATTAGGAAAAAGTGCCTTCTCTGA